GACAATTTTCAGAGACTTAAAAAACCATTCACCACTTTTACCTGCTTCGATGGAGGGTGCTGGTCCACGGGGTTCCTCACACCACCATTCCAGAGGTGCAAGTCCTGCAGGCTGCTCTTTGAGATTTCTGCTTGATGTTTGGAGGGCACGCTTTGTCCTCTCTGCCTTGAGGAATGCCCTGTTCCCCCGCTCCAGGGCAGTTCCTCCTCTGTGTGACCTCACACCTGAGAGATAAATCCAACTCTTGCTGTCCCTATACACTTCTCCTTCCCTATGTCCCTGCTCTTTATCTAGGGCGGAGCTCCCTTGTAAGGCCACAGACCCTCTCAGGTTTGGGAGCTCACACCCTCCCCGCATCATGAATTACTGCCTTTTTCCCTTTCTTCTTGCAGTGCTGGGGAGCCCAGAGCCTTACACACGCTAGGCAGGCGCTGCACCACTGAGCTACACCTCCAGCCCCAAGTTGCTATAATTTTTGTGGTTGTTGTTGTAAAATGCTTGAACTGGTTTTTATGCTATGGTCCTGAGAGTCTTAAGTTTTTATCAAAGTATTGCTTGAAATAATTTATAGTGTTAAAAGGCTTGTAACAAAAGCCACCAGCTTTTGATTCTCCCTTCTTTCCTTTTTCATATTCCCTAGTCACTCTAGTGACCGGAAACTCTCGGTCCAGGCTTCTCCTGGAGCCCCTGTCCTCCTTGCTCCATCCATCCTGCGTGCCCTCTTGTCCCATCAGCTGTGTCCCCAGGACTTCCTGTTCTCTTTGATAGCTAACCTTCATCTTCTTTCTTAACTTATTTTCTCATTTTGATGGCCTGTATCTTGCTGCGGGAGCATAATTCTGACACTTAGCGTCAGCAAGGATTTGTGGGGACTCAAAATGTGCTGGCAGGGGTGTAGACTGGTGCAACCATCACGGGGTCACAGTGCCCTTTCGTATCAGTGCATAAAACGTCCTCACTATAGCTGCAGATGTAGGTTCCTGTGGTGAGTTATTGAACTGGGTTCCTGTTTATGGACACTTGGGTCCCTTCTAATCTTTTTCTGTCAAGCAGTGCTGTGATTCACAGCCTATGCAGACATCAGATGAAGGTGTACGAGAATGACGACTGGGTAAGTTGCTGGCGGCGAATAGCCATATCGTAGCACTCACAGATTGGTGATTTTAATGGACACGCCCAGCTATAGTTTGGCTGCTCTGTGTTGCCCCCAAGATGCATCTGTTGGACGCTTGGTCCTCAGTGTAGTAGTATTGAGAGGTGGGGACTCATGGGAGGTCCTTAGAGCAATTGAAGGTGCTTCCCTCCCTTATGTGACCCCCTTGGTAGTTCTCATGGGAAGGTCTTCTTTCTTGCTTTCTGTTTGAGATGGATAAGTTCCCCCAAATTCCTATCTTTTTCAATCTGTCCCAATGTGACACAGCCAAGACGGTCCTCGCCAGAACTGAGCCAATGTAGGTGTCATGCACTTGAACCTCTAGAACTGTGAGCTAATTAAACCTCTTTACTTTACAAAGGCAGCTGCCTCAGATATTTTGTTATATGATGAAAAGCTGACTGATACACTGTCAAGTTCACTTCCATGGGAGTGTATCAATGTATAGCAATGCATGGACAGGCTTTGGGTAGGGCTAGATGGGCCAGTCCTGATAAGTGACTGCCCACAATGGTCTGAATATGGGTGTACCTCCAAATTCATATATTGAAACTTAACCCCCGATATGATAGCATTAACAAATGAACCTTCCAAGCCTCTAGAACTGTGGCCAAAAAATTTCTGTTTTTATAAAGTACTCAACCTAAGGTATTTTGCCCTAACATATAGAGCAGACTAAGATATACCATCTCCTGAGGAACTGTTGGGGTAGGGAGGTCTCCAGAGATGTAGCAATGTGGTGAGCAGGGGTTTCACAGAACCGACAGACCACCCATGCCAAAATTGAGCCAATTCGGAACCTCAGCCTGGGCCAGCTGAGGGCCAACGCCAGGGCAGCTCCCACCCTGGAGAGCTCTAAGAAAAGCGCCACAGCCACGCTCCCTCTCTGAGGCCTGTGGCATGGCTGAGTCAGGCAGCTTCAAACCCCAAGCTGGGCATCAGGAGTTTGCATCACCTGGCACCTTGCTGGGCCTTGTAGCACCCATCTTGGGTGCATTGACACCTATCCTGTCATTGCAGGTTCTGGCCTGTCATGGCCCTGTGGACATCCCTTCCAGTCAGGACAGCAGGAGGACAAAGGCACCTCTTTAGGGAATGGCTATGAGTCCTGGGTATGGCTAATGTCCAATCTGTGTGGCTACTAGCAAGGCCTTCCCCTCTCTGAACTCCAAGGCTGCACCTGTAGAGGGGGAACAATGATGGCCCCCTGGGTTGTGGCTTCTCTGTGGGTCCTCTGAGGGAAATGACTGTACCAGGACTTGACATCTAGCAACTGCTTGGAGAAGGAGATGGCAAATTTGAGGGCCCCTCAGATGGTCTTAAGACACAGCCTGAATGCTGTCAGCCCTATGTTTTCTGTAGGGCTGCCTTCTCTCTTGTCCTGGTCACTTCTGCAGCCAGAGGTGAGCCCTGGAGAGTCCAGGTCTTACCTTGCCATCCTCCCCTGCTACCCATTCTGTGCTAGGCCACCAAGGAGATGGCAGGCCTGGATGAGGAGGTCGCTGCCAACAATCACTTCTAGAAGACAGGCCCAGCATCTGAGGCTACAGCTCTAACTGGACTGACAAGGTGGGGGACAGCATGTCAGGTAGCAGAAAAAGCATGTGCAAAGCCTCAGGTGTGGCAGAAGGCATTGTTCCTTTTGCAGTAGGGTTAGCTGCTTTCTCCAACCTCTTTTCCTCCCATTTCCTACAGGCAGGGAGGAGGCTGCTGATGGGGAAGATTGAGCTGGGGCCTTGGTTTCTGGGGCAGAAGTTGGGGAAACATGGCCATAAGGAGAGGGGCATTGGGAGGTTGGCCTTGGAGAGAGAGAGCTAAGAGCCTGAACCCAGGTGAAGATTTACATGAGACATAGGGAAGGCATCTTGGCCAGCTGTCCACAGACCTCCCAAGCTGGGGTTTCCTCGTAGACCCCTGCACTAAATTGTTCAGGAGTAAGGCGGTGGAGCCAAGTGACCAACATGGTGTTGGCTTGTGGGGTGAGTGGGAGCCCCTGTATCCCATCTCTGCAGATGGGGCAGAAGATATTCTTCTCTGGTTGGAGCCAGGCTCCATGAGCATTGGCTTAATTCTGTCCGTACTGCTCATCCCAAAACCTGATGGGTAGTGCTCAGTGTGGCTAGGAGGCAGGGACAGACCTGCGGATATCTGCAGAGGGTCTTTTCTAATGTGGCCCAAGGAAATGCCAGGGACTGAGGGACAGTTTTGGGTAGGAATGGGGGTAATGAGGAGGTGGTTCTAGCCCATTCCTGGGGGCTCTGAGACTTCTTGGGTTTGGCCCACGGTTCTACCAGTCTCTGATTGGGAGCAGGATATGGTGTGAGGAGGGACAGGGAGCCAGGCTTGGCTGGGCCACCAGCTCCCTGCATTACTTGCCCATTCTGGGGGCTCAGGTAGAGGAGGACAGGTGGTCTGGGTGCAGAGCAGATTCATTCTACCCTAACAGGTAGCATTCCCACACCTCGACCAGGCTGTTGGCTTCTGGTCCTTGTGGGGCCTTACTGAGGGCCTGGGTACCCTCGAATGAATTTCTTGCATTGAGTAAGGCACCCAAGTGTGCTGGCAGTCTTTTCTCTGCTTGTCCCCCAAGATGGGGCCCAAGGCCAGGACAGCTGAGTTTAGTTCCGAGCAGGTTCCAGTCCCAAGTGGCCTGACATGGGTAGAAGCCAGTCAGGATGGGGTCAGTGCAACCCATCCCCCACTCCACTCGTCACTCAGCAGGCCCTGACCAGGAGAGAGGGTGCACATTGCACTCCTTGACTTCTTGGCTAGTGACCTGGCTACTTGTGGCAGGATCTCCACTACTGCTTCCTGGCTCAGTGCCTGAGGGTCGGAAATAGAGACTGCGTGGGGGTGGGGGACTGAGGAGGTGCCTTGGGTGTGTGGTATTGGCTTCATTGCCCCCCACTTTACACAAGAGGAATTTGTTCCCATGCAGGGCAGTTGGTATCCATTCACCAAAGGTTAACTGAGCACTTACTAAGCACCAGGCTCTGTCAGGAGGACATGGGGCGTGTGGACCAGAAATGACTGCTACGTCCCACTCCTGGACCCCTCACATCCCACTCCTGTACCACAGCTACTACGTTCCAGGGCGGAGTTGGAAAGCCACCCTGCATCCCAACTGAAGCTCCCTTCAGACCCGAGGGTCAGAGGCACAGTGTGGACCCGGATGTGCAGGATGTACGAACAGGTGTTTTTACCAACTCTCAAGTTCACAGGGGAGTTAGCAGCAGGGTTGTAATGTACATGTCGACTCCATGACACCAGTTTGTCCTGCTGTCCTGTGTCATGGTTGTCACCAGAAAGCGTCCTGATACCGGAAGGATCCAGAAAGGGAAGGGTGCCAGGGCTGCAGAAGCAAGCCCCCTGAGAGGCACGGGGGAGGGATCGATCAGCAGACAGGCAGGGCTGGCGCAGGCACATTTTGCATCATGTCATGATGCCTGCTGCGGTTGCCACCTGGTGACAGACTGTGGTGTCGACTTCCATGGCACATGTCACTCAGGAAGATCATGAGATTGCCTGACCCTCTGGAATAGTGCCATGTCCTTACCCAGGATGGACAGACTGACAGCAATATGATCCCCACTGTCCTGAAGGCAGGGTGTCCCTAAGGCATGTGCTACCTGCACATCTGAAGGCCCTGCCAAGTCTACCGGGGCTGAGGTCCCACGAAAGGTTTCCTGTGCCCATGTGGCCATTGTGGCAGGCACCAGGGCATTGGGTCTCGGTTTGCAAAGTGGTGAGGCGCTGTCCCAGCCTCAGTCCCCTGGGCCATCTGAGGCGGGGGTATGGATAGCCTCTTCTGGTTCCATCTCTTCCTCCTCCTTCAGCTCAGTGCTTCTCATGTCTTCCCCAAAATAGAAGATCTGCAGGTTTAAACATGGCAGGGAGAGGTGAGAGTCCCAGTCCTGTGGTTAGAATGCTGCTCACATGGGCCACCTTCCCAGCATGTGACAGGAGGTGGCCAGAGGGGTGTTTGCCAAATCCTTTGGCTCAGTTTTCAGAGCCCCTGCTGTGAGCCATTTCTGACCTCCACTTGGCTGTGAATAAGCAGGAAGGAGATGGTGTGTGGGCTCTTTTCTGGACAAAAATATGGACTGGAAGTTCCTGGCCCTGGAAATGGCCTGATCCTGCCCCTCCCCGTGAGATGGCTGTGCCCCCAGGAGGCAGAAGATTGGGTATCTTGGAAGTACCTCTGCTCTATCCTGGCCCCCAGCAGCTCGACCCTCTGCTTCCAACCCACCTCCCATGCCCAGCCTAGCCTGAAGACTCACCTTAGAGATTTCCACCTCTCTTTTTCTGTTTGGTTCTCTGGGCTCTCACTTTCATAGGAAGCCAAATAAAGACCTAGGCAGGAAGGGAAGTGAAATGATGCAATCATGGTTGATGAGGATACACACAAGCCTGACCTGCTTTTTGTTTTCAAACTAAACTTTTTTGCTTGGAGATAACTGTTTATATGAAATTACAAGAGATGAGAGGCAGAGATCTTGTGGAATTTTAACCCAGTTTCTCCCAGAAGTAAAACCACTTGCAGAACTATAGCATAGCATAGCACAGCACAGTACAGACTTGTCTCTTACTTATGACAAGATTTTTCTACTCGGTGATGCTGCAGTGACACATCCAGTAGAAACCACTCCTTGAATATGGGTATGCAGTGCAACTCCTGCCCAAGATGCTGGACTGCAGTAGTGAGCCTTAGCTCCCAATTGCTAACCAGGCACTGGCCATGAGATCTACAGTGTGTCATTTTCACAACTTCCACAAGCTATTCCACACTTCCTTATACAGTGGGCTTGTGTTAAATCAGTTGCTCAGCTGTAGCTAACGTAACCGTGCTGAGCACATTTAAGGTGAGCTGGGCTGAGTTAGCTTGTTTGGTAGGTGAGGTGTACTAAATGCATTTTGGACTTATGGTAGCCCCATCTGAGGATAGGTTTTATTGGGATATGAGTACTTAGTAAATTAAGCAGCACCTGTAGAGTATATATCACAGCCAGGCGACTGACACTGACACAGTTAAGTGTCACCAAAGGACCCATCTCTCCTGTAGCCCTTCTGTAGCCATACCCTCAGCCCCTGGCAGGCACTAACCAGTTCTCCATTTCTGACTTTCGTCGTTTCAAGAATGTTACATAAATGGAGTAAATGTAACACTTTCAGACTGGAGGTTTACCCATGTTGAATTCAGGCCCTTGAGCTTACTAAGCAGGAGCTCTAAAACTTGAGCCATCCCATCAGCACTTTTTGGCTTGGTTATTTTATTTTTTTCTTGGTGGTACTGGGGTTCGAACTCAGGGATTCACACTTGTGAGGCAGGTGCTCTACCACTTAAGCCACACCTCCAGTCCTTTTTGCTCTTATTATTTTGGAGATAGGGTCTCACTTTTTTGCCCAAGCTGGCCTGAACCTGGATCCTCCTATTTTAACCTACCCATTGTCATTGGGATGACGGGTGTGTGCCACCACACCCAGCATTTTTTTCTGTTGAGATGGAGTTTCAAAACCTTTTTGTCTATGATCCTCTCAATCTCAGTTTCCTAAGTGGCTAGGATTACAGACGTGATCCACTGGCACCTGGCTGTGATGGTTATGTTTAAGATAGGGTCTCACTTTTATACCTGGACCAACCTGGACTGCCATCCCTCATTTGTGTTTCTCCTAATAGATGGATTGACATGTGTGCAGTATTGCACCCAGCCATTGGTTGAGATGGAGATCTTGGTGAACTTTTTTGCCTCGGCTGGCCTTGAACTGTGATCCTCCCAACCTGTGCCTTGTGAGTAGCTAGGATTACAGGTGTGAGCCACCACGCTCAGCAACGGTTCCTTTTTCTAGCTACACAGTACATGTAAGGATGCAGCACACATGGTTTAACCATTCACCCACTGAAGGACATCTGGGCTGCTCTTAGTTTGGGGCTATAACAAATAAGCTGCTGTAAACACTGAGATAAAGGGCTTTGTTTTGTGTAAGGACCATGTTCACTGTCTAGAGTAAATAAATGTCCCGCACTATAGTTCCTGGGTCATATAACAGCTACATATTTAGTTTTGTAGGAAACTTTTTGTCTAGCTCTATACAGAGTTGTGATGGGGTTATATCACAATGTACCTTTCATAAACTGAAAGCAGTGTAAGTCAGTGCACCTAACCCACCTAAGCTGCTGTTGCCCAGCAACACAGTGCATTGTAGAGAATTAGTTGTTCCCTGTGATCGCATGGCTGGCGGAGCCCAGGCTCACTGCCACCTTTCTAGGCAGGATTGGGCCACCTGTTCCCAGCCCAGGAAAAGATCCAAACTCAAAATATGAATTAGCTTCCACTGGCTGACACTGTTCTCTCAACACGGCAAAGGTGTGCTCTAGCTCCATTTGGTGAAAGGCTCTCTTTCCTCCTCTTGGTTGTGTATTTTTGTTCAAAACTACTTGGGCACATCTGTGTGGATCTGTTTTTGAATGTGTCTGTCCTTCTCCCAGCTATGTGATACAGCTTTAGAATCAGGTGGGTCAATTCCTCTCACTTTCTTCTTCTGTTTTTCAAAATTGTTTTAGCTCTTCTATTTCTTTTACTTTTTCACATGAAGTTTAGAACAGTTTTGTCTATGTCTTATAAAAATCTTGCTGGGATTTTGCTAGGAATTGCACTAAAACTGTACTTCAATTTGGGGAGGACAACTGACATCTTTGTTATGTTGGATCTTTTAATTCTCAAAACTCATGTCTCTGCGTTTATTCAGATCTTTGATCTTAGCACTGCATGTATGTGTACAAGACATGTATATATACGTGTATATGTGTGTGTTCATACACACATGCTTTTTTAGGCAGGGTCTTGCTGTATAGCTCAGGTTGGCCTTGAGCTTACAATCCTCCTACCTCAGCCTCCTGAGTGCTGGGATTATAGGTGTATGTTACTATGTGCAGTTTGCACTGTAGAATTTTTTAGCATATATGTCCTATACATGTTTTGTTAGACATACAACTAAATATTTCATTTTTGAGCATGGTGTATTTAACTTTGGTGTTCATGTATTTATTGCTTATACAGAACATGATTGTTTCATGTTTATTTTGTATTCTGTGACCTTATTATACTTGATTTTTATTTCTAGGAGTTTTGGTAGATTTCTTGGAGTTTTTTTTTTCATCATCAACTACAAATAGGGGCAGTGTGAATTTGTCCTTTCTGATCTCTATGTTATTTTCTTTTCTTGCTTTATTACACTAGCTAGGTCTTCTATCACTGACTGACTGAATAAGAGTGGGAAGGAGCAGACCCCTTCCTTTTCTATTCATCTTAGAGGAAAGCATTTAGTTTGTCACCATTAAATATGATAGCAGAAGTATTTTTTTTGTAGATGCAATATATCCAGTTGATAAACTTCCCTTATTACTATTCCTTGAGAGTTTTTTAAACTACACTAGTGTAATAAGGTTGCAGAATACAAAATAAATACATAGTTCTGCATGATTATATCAGTCGATGCAGGCAAAGCACTCAACAAACCTCTGCACCGATTAATATAATCATGTAATTTTTCGTCCTTGCCTATTTGATGTAGTAGATTACATAAACTGATTTTCTAACATGGAACTTACTGGTATGTTAGGGCTTATGTCTGATGTTTTTACTTATTTTTTTCTTTTTATTCTGTGTTCTGTTTCTTGCTCTTAATTCTTTTTGTCTTCCTGCAGGCCATACTAGCAGCTTTTAGAATTCCATTTTGATCTATCTATAGTAAATTCTGGAAGGGTATTTTCACTGGCTACAGAATTCTAGGTGAGCAGTTCTTTTTTTTTTCAGCACTTAGAAAAATAGGATGCTACCTTCTGGTCACCCGTGCTCTCTGGGGAGAAACTGGATGCCATCAAAATTACCCTCCGCTTCCCCACCCATGTCTCCGTGGGTAAAGTGCTATTTCTTTCTCAGTACTTTTAAGATTTGTCTTTGTTTCTACAAGTTTGACTCTGATGTGTCTTAGAATGGGTTTCTTGGATTTATTCTGTTTGGCGTTCACTCAGGTTCTTAGATTTGCAGATTGACATGTTTTCTAACTCTGAGAACTTCCCTGTCATTATTTCTTTGACTCTCTTTCTCCTCTCCTCTCTTTCCCAGACTCTGAAGGCATGAGTATGACATCTTTTGTTGTAATCCCAAAGGTCCCAAGACTCTGACTTGGTTTACTTCTCTCTGTTGATCAGTTTGCATAATTTCTATTAATTATTATTATTTTAATTTCTATTATTACATCTTCCAGGTCACTGATTCTTTCCACTGTCTTCTGCATTCTGCTATTGAGTACAACCAACCAGTTTTATATCTCAGTTATTTCATTTTTTCAATTTTTTATTTTATCTTGTTTTTAATGTTCATGTTTTTGGTGGTATTGTGGTTTGAACTCAGGGCTTCCTGCTTGTGAGGCAGGTGCTCTCCTGCTTGATTTTATGATTTCCTTTGACTCTTCCTTATCTTCTGTTTCTTTGCTGAGGCTATGATTTCATTTGCTTCTAGGAGACTCAAGGGGAACTGATGCTATGGTTTAGACATGGCATGTTCCCTAAGGGTTCATGTGTTGAACTCTTCAGTGTGGTGATGTTGGGAGGTGGTGTTGAAGTTTTAAGAGGTGGGGCTTAATATAAGGTGATTAGGTCAGGGGGTGCTACCCTTGGAAAGAATTAATATAGTTCTGGTGGAACTCTGATTAGTTCTTATGAGAGGGTTGTTATAAAAGAGCAAGACTAGCCTGTCCCTATTCTTTGGCTTTGTGCCTCACCAGGTGACCGCTTCCTCTCACAGGCCTCCCACCATGATGCTCTCTGCTATGCTGTCAGGTGGCCAGGAGGGCCTCACCAGAGTTCTTTTTTCAAATCATATTACTGTTGTGTTGGGGGTACATTGTGATATGTACAAATGTGCTTACAATATATCTTAGTTAAATTTCACCCCCTACATCATTCCCATTTATTCCCCCCCACCAGCAATCTTGAGCCTCCAAAACTGTGAGCTAAATAAATCTTCCTCCTCCTCCTCCTCCTCCCCCTCCTTGTCCTCCTCTTCCTCTTCCTCTTCTCCTTCTCCTTCTCTTCTTCTTCTCCTTCTCTTCTTCTTAACCTTATTCTCGTACTGAGGATTGAACCCTGGGCACCAATGACTCACACCTGTAATCCTAGCTATTTGGAGGCTGAGATCAGGAGGACAGAGGTTCAAGGGTAGCCCAAAGAAATAGTTTTTGAGACTCCATCTCCAAAATAGCCAGAGTATAATGGACTGGAGGTGTGGTTCAAGTGGTAGGGTCTGCTTTGCAAGCGGGAAACCCTGAGTTTGAACCCCAGGACCCCCACCCAGGTGTTTTGTTATAGCAATGGAAACATGGACTGATACACCAATTATGTTAGCATTAGGAAAGGACTGGTGCTGAAGACAGAAACAGACTTTTGTCAGGGGCAGTGACAAACCCGGCAGGGCTTAAAACAGGTCCCTTCTATTACTTCCCTCCATTCTTTCTTAGGTGGAGGGAAGGACAAGAGCAGGGGTGGTCAAAATGGGAGGCACACCTGTCTCATGGAGCTCCAGGAGGGCTGGGGCTTTGTCTGTAAGGTCACTACTGAATCACTACCTGGCACACAGCAGGTTCTAAAGAAATACTGTTGACTGAATGTATGAATGAATTGCTCCTCCCTCTCATCTGTCCCCACCCTGTGACTACCCTGCCCCTCTCATGTGCCTTTGATACTTTTTACCGTCAAAATTCCATTGGCTAACAGCAATCATCATAACAAGTAGTGTAATAGATTGAGTGATGGCCTTCAGAGAAACCCATGTCCTAATTCCCAGAATACTTAGCTTTCTATGGCAAAAAGGGACTTTGTATATGTGACTAAAGTAAGGATCTGGAAATGGGGAGATTACCCAAGGGGGCCTAAACACCATCACAGTATTTTTATGAGAGGGAAGCAAACCAAAATTTGACTCGCAGAAAGAAGAAGATGCGATTTTGGAAGTAGAGATTGGAATGGTGAGCTTTGAAGGGGAAGGGGCCACAAGCCAAGGAATACAGGTGGCCACTAGAAGTCCAGGAAATGCAGTCTCCCCACAGAAGAAACTAGTCCTGTTGATACCTTGATTCTAGCCCAGGGAAACTGATTTTAGACCTTCAACCTCCAGAACTGTAGAGGGTGACTCGTTTTATCACTAAGGAAACTAATACAGTTGTCCCTCCTTATGTCTGGGTTTACTTTCTGCAGTTTTAGTTATCCGTGGTCAACTGTGGTCTGAAAATAGTAAATGGAAAATTCCAGAAATACATAGTTCATAAGTTTTAAACTCCATGGCATTCTGAATAGTGTGATGAAATCTCATGCCATCCCACTTCTGCCCTTCTGGGACATGAATTGTCCCTTTGTCCAGTGTACCCAGGCTGTATTTGCTACCTGCCTGTTAATCACTTAGTAGTCATCTTGGTTATGGAATGGACTGTCATGGAATCACAGTGCTTGTGTACAAGTGACCCTTATTTTATTTAATAATGACCCCAAATTGTGAGAGTAAGAATGCTGGCAATTTGAATATGCCAAAGAGAAGTCATAATGTCACATTTTTAAGTGAAAAGGTGAAATTCTTGACTTAATAAGGAAAAAAAAAATCAGATACCAGGGATGCTAAGATCTATGATAAATTGAATCTTTTCTCCAATAAGTTGTAAAGGAAAAAGAAATTTGTGCTAGTTTTGCTGTTGTACTTCCAACTGCAAAAATTCTGGCCACAGTATGTTTTAGGTGCTTAGTTGAGATGGAAAAGGTACTAAATGTGTGTGTATGAGTGTGTGTGTGTGTGTGTGTGTGTGTGTGTGTGTATGGGAAAGAACACAGTACATACAGGGTTTTGTGTAATCCATACTTTCAGGCATCCACTGGGATCTTGGTTCCCATCCTCTGTGGATAAAGGACACTTCTGGACACTACTACTGACTGAGTGAGACTTGTGGGCCTCTCCTGTGCCAACTCAAGTCATTGTCAGTGCATTCCTGGGAAGTGGGTTCTCCCCCACTTTACAGATGCAGCAGGCGAGGCATGGAGAATGTCAGGCCTGCTGAGGTCACACAGCCTGGGGTGGGAGCAGCCTGGACTGGTTCATCCCTCAGGTGCTCAGCTTCTTCATGAGAGGGGACAGAGCATGGTGACACTACCCTCCCCCTGAAACTTCCTGGCTCCAAAATACAAAAAATAAAATGGCAACGTTAAAAGCATCCAAACGTAAAATCATTAAAAATCCTCCCTAATTTTTTTTGGGTGGTGGTGGTGGTGGTGGTGGTGGTAAATGTTCCTTAAACATGGTTGCAGGTCCCTTTGTGACACTCTTGCTGTGTGATGAGGAGCCAGGTGCCCTGTGCACTGAGGGGACTTCCCAGTGACAGCAGCTATCCATGGAGCCACACTGCCCTCCTAGGTGGATGGCCACCTGACAGCTTGCTGCTCCTAGAACTTTTTTTTTCTAGAAGCCAGGGATTCTGGGGTCTGTTCACTGAGCAAATTCACAAGCAAGTCTGACTGTGACAAATGATAGGGTGGGAATGTTTGTCTACTGGAGAGACAGACATTAATAACATCAGCCAGTATCCATTTGATACACACACAGACACACACACGCACAGTGTGTGCATCCTCACCCCACTCTACTAATGATGCAGACGGTGTAAGAGACAAATGCTTATGATTTACAATGCCCAACCATGTCCAAACCATGTTCAGGAGAAGCCTGGACCAGGGGGTCCCAGCCCACATCTCCTCAGTCCTGTGCTCCTGAGGTGGTAGCTGGCCAACCAGGGCACCACAGCCTTCTCTGTCCCACCATGGGGCTGGCAGGGTGAGCTGGTGCACCCCAGCTCAGAGCAGGGGTCTCTGCACAGTGAATGACTAAGAGGTACCCAACTTTCCCCCAGCCCTGAGTTGGGGAGGCCATGGGGCCACCTTACCGTCCTCACTGAAGATGGGGGCAGTGTACAGATAGTGAGTGATGCTGGGGTCTTGCTCGAAAGGACATTCCACTTGTTTCCATGTGATGAACTCTCCAACCTGCTTGGCCAGTTCCAGAAATTTCTGCCAGGGTCACAGAGACACAAAATGGGGGTACCCTGAGTGCTGAGGCCCTGGGGGCTAGTGCCCCGTCCTAACAAAGCCTTGCTATCACCCCTTAGTGATGTGAGGGATTTGAGGAGAAACATAGGAAGCTGATGATAACATCCCCCAGCAAGAACCCCAGGTGACGGGCTGGGATGTAGCTCGGTGGTACAGCGCTTGCCTAGCATGTGTGAGGCCCTGGGTTCGATCCCAGCACCAAAAAAAAAGAAAAGACAAGAACCCCAGGTGTCCTGTGAGAGTCACTCCATCTTGTCTCCTTCATTCGCTCTGAGGGCCCATGGTGTCTAACCGCAGCAGGGAGACTGCCACCTGGGCCCACTGCCTTTGCCTGCATGTAGCAAGAGTAGGCATGCCTTTATATGAATTTATTTTTGTGGCTATCCTCTACTTAAGGCCAGTGTTTGTTGATTAATAGAATGATACCAATCTAGTTAAGTAAAAGTATTTAAACAAAATTTAAGTAAATTTTTTTCAGTATAATTTTATTTAAGTAAAATTTAAATACAGTTGTCTTTTGTTATCTATGGAGATTGGTTCTAGGACCACCACGCCAGGATACCAAGATCCATGGGTGTTGTACACTTTAGAATGAGCTTATAAGTATGTATTTACATATATTCCTGATGGGGCTTCAGTTAAAACCAAATTCAGTCTATAGATCAATTTGGGAAGCATTTGCATCTTAACTACATGGAATCTTCCAATCCATGAACATGGTACATCTTGTCATGTATTTATGTATTTTTTAGTAGATATGACTATTCAAGTCATCTATTTTGTCATGTGCAAATGCTTATAGTTGGTGGCTTTTAAGTTTTTGGTTGTTGAAGTGTAGTTCTTTATATATTTTGGATACTAGCCACTTATCAAATATATGATTTGCAAGTATTTTCTACCCCCCCAAAGAAAAAAGATCCCGGATGCACTGGTCCCTTATATAAAATGGTGTAATGTTTGCATGTAACATAGCTTATTCTCGCATGTACCTTAAGTCCTCTCTAGGATACCCAAGGCATCTAGAGAATTATTATTTAGAGAATTATTTATTTAGAGAATAATGACAAAGAAAACGTCTATATGTGCCTAGCACCTCTGGGGACCAGTGGCTCACATCTGTAATCCTAATTGCTCATGAGGCAGAGATCAGGAGGATTGAGGTTCAAAACCAGCCCAAGCAAATAGTTCGAGAGACCCTATCTCAAAAAACCCATCACAAAAAAAAGGGCTGGTAGAGTGGCTCAAGGTGTAGGCCCTGAGTTTAAGCCCCAGTACAGCAAAAATAAATAAATAAATAAATAAATTTTTTTTCCATACGTGGTTGGTTGACACCACAGTTGCAGAACCCATAGATACAAAGGGTTCAACCATACGCGTATTTAATTTTTTTTATTGTTTTATTATTCATATGTGCATACAAGGCTTGGGTCATTTCTCCCCCCTGCCCCCGCGTATTTAATTTTTAACAAGTGAGTCAACTTGAAGGATTATTCTTTTTTTGCTCCCTCTGCCAGCAAGTCATGGGGGCCTTCCTGGAGGAGGAGACACAAGCTGACAGTGGTGAGTGGAGGAGGCATCTGCCCACTTTGGCCTTTGCCTGACAACCCCCTCCTGCTGCCCATGATCCCTCCTTTGAGGACTGCTCTGGTTCCCACGTGCTGTGTACCTGTGTAGTCTCTGTCATACACCTTGCCAGTTGTCACCATGGGCTCTGCAGGGCTGTCTTTCTCACAGGCCTAGTGTTCCTCAAGGGCCCCAAATGATTCTGCTTCACCCAGGCTGGGCTCAAGGCCCAGCACGGCGCCATACTGACATGTGTGTGAGCCTCTCTCTCCTGCTCTGGCCCGAGTAGGAGTGGAGGGACTGATAAAGCCACCCCGAAGTTGCCTGTGAATTGCTCACTCTGTCTGCTGTGGGTCCCCCATTAGTCTGACTGTCCAGGGGGCCAGCAGTCCTCCTTAGGAACTTCTACTGGGCTTGTCTCTCGGTGGCATTGCCTGCCAAGGCCCCTACCTCAAAGTTGACGTGTCCATTGGGAAGGCGGTTAGCACAGCCCTCGTTCAGGAAGTAGATGTCTTTGATGAGCAGGCTGAAGAAGGGGATGACGATCTGGAAGGGAGACGATGCTCGTCAGCCCAGGGCTGGCTCAAGGGCAGGCCCAGGAGGCAGAGGGCAAGTACCACCATGTCTGGCTGAGCCTAGACTTTAGGTCACTGAGGGCATGCCTTTGAAGGAGACTGTGGGACCCTGGCCCTGTCACCTCACTTTGACTTCCTCAGTGCAATATGCCACCATGGGCCCAAAGCAACAGGGCCAACTGAGCATAGACTGAAACTTCTAGAGCTGTGAGCCAAAATAAACCTGTTCTCTTTATAAGTTGATTATCTCAGGTTTTTGTTATAGTAACAGAAGCTGACTAACACCCTGTTACTGCCTGTGTGGGCCAAGGTGGTCTGGAGTGGGGAGGAGCTTGGAAGACTGGTCAAAACCTCTGACCATGAGGCCTCTCACCTACCTTCTCCCGGCTGCTGTGGGCAGTCAGGGAGCGGTGAGCTGCCCCACGCAGGGCTGTCCTATAGTTGCAAAAATTTCCCGTTGGGTCCATCTGGTGCTGGAAGGAGATAGGGAGGCACTTGGGCAGCTCTGTCCAGGGTCCAGCCAGCTGCACCCCTCACCCTAGAAATCTTATTTACCTCCAGGATGAAAAACTTGGCCGTCTTCACTTTGGCCCAAGTCTTCTTCAGTCGGGAGACGGGACTCATGTTCATGCCAGCTGGAAGAGGGAGGGCCAGGCTGGGGAGGGCTTCTCCTGTCTGGACAGCCTCGCTCGTTCCCATGGGCAGAGTGTACCCATAGCCCTGACCAGGTGGCCTCAGCCTGCCAGTTGGTGGATGGGTACTGGTGGACATTGTGCCCAAGTAGGTCCAGCTGATGCACTGCCAACTCTGATCCTGTCTCCACCACAGGGGCCCCATCCCCCAACCAGTGACTGCTTTGGGCCCCTCCTTTCTGGATGTAGGGACACATTGCTGAGCCCTAACAAACACCCAGAGGGGACAAGGCAGGAACATGTGTTACACATTACCCAGCCCACACCCACCCATCACTCGGAGGAGAGCCCTGGCTTGCATCCCACCTGCCTGGTTGTATCCACTCCCACATCTCTGGGGTCCTCGCATGGGGGACTCTGAGCCTGGGCTGGCCTACTCACAGATAATGGCCATCAGGGAGTTAAAGTTGCCGATGTTGAAGCACTCTCGGGCCACATCGATGAAGAACTCGATCACCTGAGCCCTCTGCTTCTTCTTGGCTGGCTGGGGACAGGGCACCAGAGCCTCAATGATGACTTGTTCCTCCCCATCCCCTGCTCATCAGGCCCCACCCTCTTAATCTTCTCCAAGCCCATTTTGCAACTGAGAAGCCTGAGGTCCAAGGCAACGTCTGAAATTCAGGGTCCTCAGTGTCTGAGGCTGCACACAGTCTGCTGCCATGAGGCTCAGGTGTGGCCTGGTGGCGCTCCCATTGGGACACAGGAACCATGCATAGTACGGGAAGGGCTGTGAGGCACCATGGGGAGCAGCTGTACCACTTTTGTGGCTTAGAATCAACCTGTCCTTCCCCTGGGCCATCCTAGGTAGTAGGCTCCTGGTGTCCAGGTAGTCTTGGTCTAGACTTCACATAGGTGAACCCCCCCCTACCTGCCAGGCCAGTGATGTGAATGGGGGAAGAGGCAGTGGACTCGCACATTGTATCTTCCCCATACAGGTAGATTTTGTCTGCCTACCACGCACACAGCAATGGTCTACTGCCACCAAGAAGTGTGTTGTGGTGTCTGCAGAGATTTGCTAACGGTCCCCTTCAAGGGGTGGTCTGAGCTGTAGAGAGCTGCCCACCTGAGGATTCACTCTGTTCTTCCCAGGGTAACTGCACAGTGGCGGTGACTGAGCCAGGAAGGGGATAAAGGCCAACCATGTCAGCCCCATGTGGACATCACAGTCAGCTTCTCGCTTTGCACATTCCTGACTTCCCCATTCTCATAAGTACTCCCCCTAATTGCCATCACCACCCCCCAGCTCTGCCTCAGCATGTGCCCAAAGCCAAGACTGGCCAGTCTGAACCTGAGACAAGCAGTTCTCTAGGCTTCACATTACGGCAAGAGAGAGATGTGGCCAGGTGGAACCTCAACTCAGTGACAACCATGTCCAGCTCCATCCTGTCAGGACTTGCTGTTTTCCAGGAAAAGCCACTGACCTGCACTTCTTAGGTGCAATTTGCCAATTCTTAAAGGTAGGGCCACTTCTACCTCTAAGTCCTGGCTGCAGGCCAGGCTGCCCAGGGCAACAGACCCACTTGCTTAGGTAGGCATGACTCCTTCAGCAAACTGTTTCTCACTTCCTCTGTGACACTGGCTTGTGGATCCACCCTGAGATCTACCTAGAGGGGACATGTCGCTGCAGGAAAGGGTGAACCTGGTGTCCTGGAGGGGTGGCCAGCCGAGTCCTAGGCTTGGAGATGGTCGGGGCTCCGTATGCCTTCCAGTTCCCCCAGATGGCCTTTGGCCATGCCAGGCCACCATGCCCACCTGGCTTTCTACTCACCATGCAGATCTCAGTTGCCACAAGGTAGCACAATCTGTTGAACCATTTCACATAGGCCTCTAGGTTATTGGTCTTGTCACTGAAACAGGGCTGGAAAAGACACATGTGACCCCATGCTGAGTCTCTTTATTGATTACTTTTTAATTATTACAGATAATCTGGACAATATGAAAACCCCCAAACCACCCAGAAAAAACAATGATTTGGTATGTATCCTTCGGTCTTTTTTTCTTTTTAAGGATGTAGGGGGGGTATGGTGTCCCGTGGTAGAGCTCTTGCCTAGCATGCATGAAGACCTGGATTCAATCCCCAGCACTGCAGTGGGGAGAAAGATACAGAGGAGGCTAGAGGTGCAGCTTAGTGGAAGAGTGAGCACTTAGCATGCCTGAGACCCTGGGTTCCAACCCCAGCAATAAATAAATACTCAATTCAAAAGTGCTGATACGCAGGCACACACATGCACACAGAATTGATCCTTATTATTCATTGATTCTGTATTTGCAAATTTGCCTACTCCCTAATTTTTATTTGTAACTTCAACAGCTTGCGTCCTGTGCAGTCATTTATACATATGTGCAGAGAGACGAAAAATTTTAAGCCACTCGACTTACATAAACATTTCCATCTGAGATTGAACTGAGTGACACTCTGCCTTGTTTCAGCTCTTATGCTGTGATCATGCATCCTTTTTCCTGTCTAGTGAGAGTCTTCCCTTTTCCCATTTTCGTGTTTTTTTAGGGGGTGCTTTCAACATTTAAAGAAGCTCCCAAGTATGATGCAGAAGTGATATCTAGTGTTTCTAGGCACCTGAGTGCTGCAACATGTCCTACAGACAAAACATGTGCTAGGTAAACTTCATTCAGGCATGAGTTATATTTTTACTTATTGATAGATATTCAGATCTCACATTGTAATCAATCTGTAAAAGCTATCACTTGTTGAATTTTAGTGCAGTATCTAACAAAAATATCCACAATTTTCTGAAAAGGTTTTTAAATATTTCTCAGTTTTCTGTGAGAGGTTAGACTTTCTTTAACCAAAATAATGTAAGTCAAGAGCCTGAATGCACAGCAGAGAAGAGAACTCAGCTGTCTTCTATGAAGTCAGACATTACAGAAATTTGTAAAAATATCATAGAACAATGTCACCCTTCTCGGGAATTTTCTGTCAGGAAATAGTTATTTTTTCATAAAATGCTATGTATGTCAACATGTAATGGGTTAGAATTGTTTTTGATTATACATTTTAAAAAGTTATCAGTTTTAAGTGCTAATGTGATTGTAGTGATAACAAGTACCTATATAACCAAAAGTTATTTGGGATCTGCAATAATTTTTGAGAGTATAAAGAGGTCCCGAGAGTAAAACATTTGAGATGTGACAGACCACATCCAGTGTGCGCTCACACATGTCAGGAAACGTGTATAAGAATGTTCACAGCAGCAATATTTAAAATAGCAAAAAGATGGAAAAATAGGAATGTTCATCTACAATAGGGTGTTATGAAGAAATATCACGTGCAATCTTGATGTATTTCACAATTTAAAAAAAAGAAATTCTTGGCAGACGCAGGGGGATCTAGAGTTCAAGGCCAGCCTTGGCTACATAGTGAGACCCTTTCTCAAAAAACCCAAGGGCTGTGGTGTAGTTCAGTGTTAGAGTGCATGCACAAGGTCCTGGATTCCATCCCCAGCATCACAAAAATAAAGCAAAACAAAACTTGGACATGGCCAAACACCACACACAAACAACCCTCTAGCCAGTAATGGTGGCTACGCTTATGGTCCCAACCACTTGGGAGGTTTAGGCGGGAGGATTGCTTAAGCCCATGGAGAGTTTTGAGAGCAGCCTGGGCATATTAGATTCCATTTCTAACTAACTAACTAACTAATCTCTTTAAGAGTAGCCACATCTCCCTCCTCTTCCTGCCTCCTCACCCCACGACTGCCCTCCAGAATTCTTTCAGATTATTTACCAAACTCACGAGCATAGAGGTATCATGCAGCCTTCCTTGTTGTTCGTATTTTACAACTGGTCACACGCTCTGTTGCTATTTGTCTCTTGGTGATTGGATAGATGGATCTTGATGATTGCTCCGTACTTACAGAGGGCCTAAATTCTTTTTAATAGTCGCACAACCATCAATTGATGAATGCACTACACTTATACCTCTTATCATCCCAAGGGTGACAAAGTAATTTGCTTTCAGTATTTGACCATAGTGGATACCACATATACTAAATACTGTTCTATGCACATTTTTGTGTACTCGAACGTGTGTATCTATAGAATTAATGATTAGATGTGGAAAGTTGGGTCTGGGATGTACATTTATTTATTTACTTGATACTGGGACTCAAATCCAAAGCCTTGCCCATGCTAGAGTTTGTTCTATGGCTGAGCTACATCTCCAGGCCAAGGACGCACATGTAAATTGTTCATGCAATGACCAGTCTACCCTCTAACGTGGTGTGACAGTTTCATCCCCTACCAACAGTGTAGGAGAGTGTCGCTCTCCCCCATGCATGGGCGATGTCTGTTCTACCAGGTGATCCTTGGTTTTCTGAGAGGTGAAAATGCCACCACATTCCACAGGGTTTAGTTTGTACTTCTGTTTTTAGATGTGAGGACACAAGACGTGATGTTTCCAGCCCTGGCTCAGGTTAACCCGTTTGCAAGCACCAGTCATCCTGCTGGCTGGGCTTCTTTTTTTGTCTTTTCTTTTTTGGTGCTGGGATCGAACCCAGGGCCTCACGCATGCTAGGCAAGCGCTGTACCACTGAGCTACATCCCATCCCCCTGGCTGGGCTTCTTGAGCAGAAGGACCGGTTTCAAATCCAGGTGTGTGGGTCCTTATACACAGTTGAGGGACTCAGGAACCCTGCTCAACTTGTTCTCCGCCATTCTCAGCAGCGTACACCATGCTGCGCTACCCCGCGTGGCCGCCGGAGGGCACCCGCGTCCACCAAACGCACCAGGAGACCCGCGGGGTCCTTGAAACCGCAGGCGTGCGCCCTGCACCCTCCTCCCCACCCGGACCCGCAGCCTAACCCAAAGTGCATGCAGCCGACAGCCCGCCTTCTCGCGGGTCCCCCGACTCCTGCTGGGTGCGTGACCTTGCGGGGTGCGTCCAGGCCTCCTGGGCCTCCCCCAGGACTTAGGGATGTCCCCATAGGAGCTGAGGCACGGAAGCCCAGTAGGCCCGCTCTTGCCCTAAGGATCTCCCCCAGGGTGGCCGCCACTGGGCGGAGGTCACTGTTGGGTCAGCCGGTCCAAGAGCCCTTTCTACCTTTGTGCTGACCAAAGGGTCCTTGTTCACAAAAGCCTGGACAAACTCCTCAGGCCCGATGTGTCGTAGCCGTTCCTGCACCGGAAGGGAGAAGAATGGGAAAAGAGGGACAATAAAGGGAGGGTGCCCGCCGGGAGGCAGTAAAGGTGCCCAGTAGTGGAGGTGTAGAGGGAAGAAACCCACTACCCTGCCCCCCAATCTGGGCGAGACCCTTGACCTCAGCATCCAGAAAAAGCATCCAGCTCCTGCTAGACCACAGCACCCCCTTTACAAGCAGGAGGGAGGGGCTGCTCTGGAAAGCTGGGAAGGGTGGGGTGTATCTGTGTGACCACTGGATGGGGGAAACTGAGGCCCTGAGTGGGATAGTCACTAGGCCTGGGAGGAACATTCAGTGGGTGGTATCAGAGCCAGAGTTTGAACCCAATTCATCCTTTCCAGCCCTAGACACTCAGGCAGGCCAGGAGCTCCCACCTCCAGCCCCCCCTGTTGTGCACACTCTCCAGGAATGCTGGGAGATTGCACCAGAGTCTTCCCTGGTGCTGGACTGGCCCAGCTATGAAAGGTGTAGAGCCTGAGACAAAGCAGGAAGGGCAGGTGGGGGAGGGGCAGCTGGCTGTTTCAGATTAGTTCCTGCCCTGAGTGGCAGCATTGCTTGCTCACCAGCTCCACGTGGGTCAGCTGCTGGGCCAGTGTGTAGGGGTCGCTGCAGACCCCAAGGAGCTCCCTGTGAATGGAGGCCGGTGGCTTGGTCCGGTAGGAGATGGGCTTGTCGGCACCCACCAGGCCTTCTGGCCCCTGGTCCAGAGCTGCCAGTTTCTGGTGCAGAGCCTGTAGGAGCTGATGCATCCTCTTTCGGTAGGCCTGGGAGAGGGAGGGGAAAAGGGATGCTCAGGCCTGAACACCCATCCCCCAGTCTCCCCTTGGGGGAGTGACAGGCTTCTGGGCTCTGAAGGAGGGATGTTCCTTAGCATCTCTGAGGAAAACACCAGGTACAAGCAAGTACACTGGGACCTGCCCCTTCCCTGAAATAGGACCCAGCCAGGGCCACAGGTCAAGGCCAACTAGGGAGAATGCTGCAGGGTTATTAGTGGGACAGGAAAAAAAGCACGCATCAGGAGGGCGGCCAGGGCCCCTAACACCCTAGTTGTTTGGGTGGCAGGGCAGAGGGGTGAGGCAAGCTGGGGAGCTGGAGGAAAGAAGCGGGGAGGGAAGACAAGAACTGGCCTTTTGCTTGGCTTCAGTAGGGTCCCTCCTGTCTCCCAGGACCAACTCAGATAGGCCTTCTGGACCTCTGCCCCTGGTAGCATTCATCCAGGTCTCTCTATGTGACTGCTTTGGTCCCTTCCACTATTGGAGATGATGAGGTTTGTCTTCTCCCCAGCAGAGTGACAGCTGCACAGATGTGAGGAAGTCTGTGCTGCCACCCCTGTTAGTGGAGCCCACTATGCCCTGCTCTGGGCATATGTGGGGCACTCAATGCATACCACACAGGGAGAGTCTCCTCACCATTCAGGTTAGGTGATGGATTCCTGCTTTGGACCATGCCCTAGGCTAGATACAGGGACAAAAGGCCATGGCTCTCCCTCCAGAGGCACCTACTCTTCTAGCCCCAAGAGAAACCTTTTATCTCTCCTTCAGTGTCCGTATTTCTATGAGAAGGTGCCAAGGGCCTCACTAGGTTTATTAAGACACCCACATATCCCAAAGGTTTTGGTCAGTAACCCACAGAGTAGCTTCTGAACTTATCAGCCTGTAGCAAATGTCACCCCCAGAGGTTATCCAGCCCCCCACACCCCCATGAGCCAAGGAGCTGACCGGGCACTGGCGGAGCAGCTGTGGGCAGCTGGGGAGTCTAGACTCCAGGCAATGAAGAGGCATCAACCAGGCCGACTGTGCCCAGAGCCTCAGAAAATAATAGGCTGGTGGAGTTGGTGTTGTCAGACAAGTCAATAAGGTAAAAGTGAACTTTTCTTCAAGCCATTCTGAAACACAAAAACTCAGTGACATTTTGCAGGTGTGGTGCCTGGCCTGCTGGCTGTGAGAACCTGGGGGCGCAGACAGCTCATCAGAGTCTCTGACGGGGGTTCAGTGTCTGAGGTTGTTGGCGCCCTTTGCTCTAGGGACGAGGAGGCTTCCTTGGTCCCTGGAGGTGTTTCTCTGTGAAGCAGCCAAGGAGAGCCCTCAGGACACAGGGAACAGGTGAGGAGGCCACTTAACCCGAACCCAATCTAAACTCCCAGACCCGTTGGGGTTGGATCCACAAGGCACCTACTGATTCGCTGGGCAGTGAGTGGGTAAACTGAGGCCCAATCCTCTGTCTGTTGCCCATCTCAGCAAGGCTGCGTCCAAGTGTGGTCAGCACATTGCTTCCCAGAACCTCATCTGAGTGCTGGGAAGAGGGTGCAGCGTGACCAGTCCTGGGTGACTTTGTCACCTGTGATTCACCGATCCTCCAGTCTGTGTCCTATGCATAGTCTGTGTCTCCTGAGTGGCTACACTGGTTGTTGTGTCTCATCACCTCCCGCTCACTCCTTGACCACACCATCAGCCACTCTTATTAGCCATCAGACCAATTCTTGCTGTCACCCTGGGACACCTCTTATCACTAAAACCAATGGCTGTTTCTCAGGCTATTTTCCTTAGCCATCTCAGCCTTGGCCCCTGGTTGTTCCTACCTTGGGCTGTTTGCAGGCTTGTTTGTCTTTGCCATGGCTAGAATCTGGGGTTCTTCCTGTCTTGGTTGTTCTCTCTTTTCCTCTCTCTTTACTTTGTTCCCGAGAATTCTGGATCATATCCATAGTGTCCTTTAATGTCTGTGTGTAGACAGAGGCCACATTTATGTGTGCAGCCTCCCCTCTAAACTCCAGAGCCAAACAGCCAGTGGTCCACCTAAACGCACCACTGCAAACGGAAGTCACCCTCTCTTTGTCCAGAGCTGGAATCCTCAGTCATCAGATACATGAGCCCTGGAGTCATCCTTGCCCCTGCCCTCTCCTTCATCCCCTCTAAGCCATCACCAACCCTCTTGACTTCATTCTCTTCCATTTCCATGCATCTCCACCATCATCTCCATGGTCTAGGTTACTGCCATCTCTATGGTAGCTGCCATAGCCTCCACAATAACCCCTGTCTCTACTCGGCTTCTCTACATTGCGCTCTGCTGCTGAAGTGGTTCATGTAAGATGTCTGACCACTGCCTCCCTCTCCCTCAGAATGTCTTCCGAGCTTTTGCAAAGACATAAGCCTGGTGTGGCTCTAGTAAGGCCCTGAGGTCAGCTCTGGACACACAGGATGGCTTCAATGTGCTGCTTGCTCCCTTTCTCTGCTCTGCACTCAGGTCACTCCTCTGTCCTTCTGGTGCCTTTCTCCATGTCCCCAGAAGGGCTTGGCATCCTCCCTTTCAGCATGTGCTTCTCATCCTCTGAACTGAAGTTCAAGTGCCTTTTCCCAGAGGGGCCATCAGTTCCTGGAGCAGTGTGCCCTTCCATCGCAGTACTGGCAATGTCAAGATGTAAGGCGTTACGGGGAGATTGCTCTACTCATGTATCTCTCCTTCCTAGATGTTAAGCTCCATACAGACAACAGCAGGTCACGCTTTGCTCATCTCTAGTATGAGGGCAGTGCCAAGCTTCCAGGTGACCACGTGCATCTGTTGAATGCCCGGATGACAATAGCCTTCCCGTGATAGCCAGACATTCTCTCCACAAGGGTGCCACAGTAGGCCAAGGGAGCCTTACCAAAATCAGGGAGGCAGGGTGTCTGTGCCTATTGGTTGACAGAACCATGAGATTGCCCTATTTAAAAAAATGCACACACTTAACAAGACCTGTTTCTATTGACCTGATACTCACTCTGAAGAGTGATCATTTCCTGTTTGCTAGTTCATTTAGATTTTTCCAGTGCTGTTAAAATCAAGCTTATCTGAATCAAGCTTCCTGAATCTTCCACTCCTCTGAATGTGATGATAGTATTTGCCCTTCTCTTAACTTCCTGTCACTTTCTATACCTGTGGCTCAGAAATTTCCTTGCTAAATCTGGCAGACCTGGGTACATTAACCACTGAGAACGTCAAGGTGTTCCCTTATCACTATCATGAATTCACACAACACCTTGTGTCCTCTCTTTCCGCTAGTCACAGCTGAGAGGATGCCTGAGAGGACAGGCGGTGTGGAACTGTTTTCTAGCTGTTTCCACTAAACCATCTGCTGCGTGCACAGGGCCCAGGGTGAATGCAGAAGTTGTCTGATGGTGGCCTGGGTGGAGGCCACAGCTTTCTGGGTGCCTCCAAGTTCTCTTGGATTAGGCATTTCATGGCTAGAACCCCATCTCCCTGGCTGGACAAGCATTGGCATCTTCTGTATGAGTTCTTGAACACTCTTTCCTGAGCCAGCCTGGTGACATCTTCCTGGCTCAGCTCACACTGCAAGAGCGGGAGCTCTCGATGTTTCCAGGGGACCTACGTTCTCCTCTAGCTTGCTCGCTGAGTCAGTTTATTGTCACCTCTGTGTTTGGGCAGCATGGACAGTCCACCATACAGTTCATGTGAGCAAGGGTGAAAGTGAGATCAGTCCTTTGGAAGGAGCTGCCTGTCCTTGTAGTCTAGTATGTGGCCAGAGCATTGCTGTCCTGTTGTTTCTCCCTTACCTGGAGCTGTGGCCCTCTGGGTCTTCCCTGGTCTCTCCCAGCCTCCCTCAACCTCATCATTGGCCTCCCTGAGCTGTAACTGCTGAGTCCCTCACAGGCAGGGCCAGTCATGACACACCATGGGTTTCTAGCACAGGGTGGCCCAGAGCAAGTGTCTCGATGCAGTGGTTGGATGCTGGAAAGGCTTCTATGGAAACCCCCATAATTTACAGTCATGGAGAATGGCCTCAGTCTCTCAGCAGCATTTTGTTTCTAGCTGCTGAGAGTGACATGGCAGAAGGGCATGGAAAGAGGAGCGTCTGCACAGAGGACAGAAGGCAGCAATTATCAGCCCTGTCCTGCACTATCTCCTCTACATCCTTGAGCTCTACTGCTCTTCTCACAACCCCGTAAGGGATGAATTTCCACCCTCCCTTTTATAGAAAGAAATGTGAAGCTCAGAGAGGTTAAGTAACTTTGCCCAAAGATACACAGCTCCAAAAATGCCTGTGTTTATCTCTTGACCTTAGGCACAGGATTCTACATCATTTGATTCCATCCCTGCATGAGAATCTTTTAAAAAGATAATGCTAGGGTGAAATGACCCCAGAGCAGTGCCTTGCTCTCTGAGCTTGTTATAATTGCCTTAGCAGTTTTCCTTTGTTTCATAGGGAAGCGGTTCTGTTACGTTCAGACCCACGCTGGGGCATATCTCTAGCTACCAGCTTGCCATGTTTAGGGTCCCCCTAGGACAACTGACTTGCCAGCCCTCCCTCCTCCAGTGCTCTCTCTTTCTAGACAAAGCACATCAGTGATGTATGCAGAGTAATTCTGGGATTGCTGATAAGCCTACCTTCTAAACACACCAGGACACATCTGCCCTCCACCTTCACAGGGCCTTTCCTGCTGTGCTCGCCACAGTCCTGGGAGGTGGAGATTTCTGTCCTCCTTTCACTCATAAAGGAAGTGAGGCTTAGAGACCTGAATGTGTTCCTCCCAGAGTGTCACAGCCAAAAGAGCAGAGAAGGGTGTGGGACACAGGGGCACCTGGTACCCAGAATAGCCGCTGCCTCCCAGGTCACGGGTTTCCGAGTATAAGGGGTTGTGTTTGTCTGCACTGTGTTTTAGCCCCAGCTTTTGGGGTTCATGTCCTATCTCGGAGGCTGGGTGGATCCCAGGAGACTCTGCCTGCTGTGTGGTCCTTTTTTCCACTACTGTTGTTCTTGTGGTCCATCCTGCAGAGCCTTTTTCCTGCCCCTGAGTTGCAAGTCCATGCCAGCAGCTCTGAGTGCCAGACTAACTCTGGATGGGGAGCAGGGGCAAGGAGGAGGGACATGGCTGTGGCACAAGTCCCAGGACACAGGTCCTGCCAAGTGGCCCGTGGTTCACAGACCAATAGCCTGACCATGGGTCAGCTAGAACCCATGGGTAGGTTTTCTCTCCTGGCCATCTGATACCATGGATGAGAGCAGAAGGCAGAGGTCAGGATCCCAGGCCTGGAACCAGAGGCCTGATTTTCTCTGAGTGCTGCAATGCCTGGTTCCTTGATGGGTCAGAAAGTGGGTGGCCTAAGGGGCTGAAGTGTGCAATATGAGGGGATTAGGGCTGGAGGAGGCCGGGAGCAGGCTCAGGCCAGGATGTGAGGGTGCAGAGAGGATGAAGTGACTCCCCCTTGGCTTGCCCACCTCGTCACATGGGGCGATGCGTCCCACCACATCTGTCATGTGCCCGATGGTTGATTCCTCCTGGAAGTCCCGTGGGAAGGTCTCTGTCCACTCAGCCAACAACTGGAGCAGTTTGGGGCCAAACTTCCGGACCCGGGCCTACAAGGCAAGCCAAGGGGTGGAGCTGCTGTCAGTGAGGGGTGCTAGGGAAGCAGGTGTGTGTGTGTGTGTGGGGAGCACAGCCCATTACTGTGCATGCTCTTCACCTCTGGGCTGCCTTAGAGTCCCAGCAACAGCTGAAGGAGGACTTGAGGCCTCTCTGTGCCAGGTCACAGGGACAGGACAGGGACGGTGCTGACTCTGCTCTGTTCCCACAGGTGAGCAGAAGGGGGACACACATTTTGGGGCCCAGTCACCTCTTGTTTCTGCCTGCCTGACATCCCCCAGCATCTCTGCTCCTTTTCTGTACTGACAGCATTTTAATTTTCCCTTGGGGACTCCCTTCTTTTTTCCCATCTGGCTGGGCTGACTCCACTCTAGGAGTGGAACCAGATCAGTGCTGGCCATCATGTGTAATGATTGGCTTATAGAGTGGGCATGTGACCTCTGTTAGGTCAATGAGATTCAGACTTCTACTGGACCTACAGAGAAAGAGGCTTGCTCTTTCCACGTGATTGGAAAGGGCAAAAGGCCACCTGTTGTTGTTCAGTAGAGTCTGTGAGAGCCAGAATGAGGCTGGCAGGCCCAAGGAAACTACAACAGAGGGTCAGATGAAAAAGACCATCTTCTAATGCTGTCACTTGGGCCCCTGGAGCTAGTAGTACCCAAGACCTGCCAGTTACAAGAGCTAGTCATATCCCTTGCCTTAGGCCAGTTGAAGTTGGGTTTCTGTTACTGAACCAGTAAGCTTAACAGACATCCATATAAACAGACTGTCAGAGATCTTAGGATCAGGCCAGGAATAGAGGAAAGGATGGGAGGAACCATGGCAAGACTGGGCCATCAAATGACTCCACAGAAAAGGGAAGGCAGAAGGGAATGTGCTTGGGGAAGGAAACCCAGCCCAGGTGCAGTGCTATCCTAGGCCACAGGTGGCAGGGATCCTGCTGGCTGGGCTTTGGGGTCCCAGGTAATCTTAAGGGCTCCCATAGGGCTTTGGAAAACTGCACAAGTAATAAAGGTCCTGGTTCTGTCCTCTCTGGCTCTGGGTCTCAGACAAGTCAGAATTTCATGTAGGCCCCATGTTAGGTGAACAGGAACAATCACTGCCTTCTGGAAAGGCCCCCTGGTGTGCCCAGCTCCTCACCTTATCCAGCACTGGCTTGTCCAGCTGCTGCTGCTCGATGCACAGGTGACAGACCCGGGCCAGAAGCTCCCGGGGCTCGATGAAGAGGCGAGAGCTCAGCAGGAAGGTGAAGATATAGGCTTTCTAGAGGGATATGTAAGAAAGATGGCACACGCTCACTAGGGTGTGGGGGGATGGTGCATGTCTCCAGTGTGCCTGCCTCCCCAGTCCTATTGCCATCCCTTTCACCTCTACCCTCTGTGACTCACTCACCTCAGGATAGTAGTCGGCTGTGGGGACCAGGTGCTGAATCAGGGTGTCCAGAGAGGCTGAGGATGGAGCTCCATCCAAAAGGGGCTGTCCGGCCTGCTCGCCATCTGTGGGTTCTGTGGGAGGTGGGCTGAAGCTGCCTGGGGTGACCATGTCGGAGGTGCTTAGCGTCTGGGGCATGCCTGCCTGTAATAGCAAGGAGCAGTGGGGTCACCTGAGCTCGAACCTGCTGGTTCCCTGGATTCCAGGCTGAAAGGCTTTTCTTCCCAGTGGACCTGTGTCCACTTAAGTCCAGTAGTCACCTTGTGGGAGGGCTTCCAGGGCCCCCCTACCTCCTATGACAACATCCACTCCCCTTCCTCTTACAGTCCCTCAGATCTTCCCCAGGAATCACCCATCAGTACTCTCTTCACTTAGGGACCGGCTGCTTCTGGAGCACCCCTGCCCCACACGAAGGTTGTTTATAACAAGGTCTGGATAAGCAGCAAATTTTCCCCAGCTCCAGGTCACAAAGATTGGTTCAAGGATGAGCCTGACCCAAATTGGGGGCACACACATGATCCCAGAGCTGCTTTGGCATTTGGAAGCCTTTTCCCCTAGGATCTGTGAGCTGGTAAAATGCAAGCTGGCGATTGTTGGAGCTGTCTTGTCACTAGGAGGGGTTGGCAAGTGGTCACACTCTTGATGACAGCATTGGAGCCCCTGGATCCTACTGTGCCTGAAGCTACCCTGTGGACTTTCCAATACATACACCTGTTTAAGCTGGAGTTCTCTTGGGTGCAGTCAAATGCACTGCTCTCTGTAAGTGACAGTCCAGGATCTTTGTGATCTAGACCTGCTGATCTGTCTAGTCTTGCTTCCTCTCCCTCTCCATTATACACTCTTGGCACCTGCCATGTTCTCTCCTTCTCCAGCTCTGAACCACTGCTCATGCATTTTTCTCTTGCAGGACAGCACTTCCACTGTCTTCACTCCTCCATCCTTCCAGACATGGCTGAAATGTCTCTGTGGGGCTGCTTCCCTGCAACCCAAGGTCATGCCTGATCCCTGGAGGATATCAGTGGACTCTCCTTGTTAGCCCTGTTGGGTACCTGGGACGCTGCTGTCAGTACCTGGTGCAAAGCAAGGCCCCCTGCGGGTGTTATGGTGTCCTCTCCACCCAAACCTCCTCTAGACAAAGGCCACATTTCCTCTGTGACCTTGTGCTGCAGGCCTGACCAGCAGTGGGCATCTGTGCACCATGAGCAGGGAGATGGGGCTTGCTATCCGAGGCACTTCCACATTGTGAGTCACTCTTCCTTGAAAGGCAATGAGTGACATGTCTTGATCAAGCCTGTGACTGTTTAACCAGCTCCCACCCTAGATATTCAGGCAGCCCCCATGTTCCCAATCATGGGGTCCCAGGGGCTCACCACAGGGGCCTTCCAGGGACTCAGTCTCCCTGCTCACCTCATCCTTTTGGCCCCCATGGAAGACCCCAGCTTTGATCCCTTTATGTATTTTCCAGCCCCCTGAATTACTCTGCCTGCCCTGACAGTAGAGACAGAAGGACATAGAGTCAGAAAACATAGGGAACCTGTCAAAGGGCTCAAGTGACCCCGCATGGGTGTGTGACTGTGGAAGGTGCTGGACTGGATTACAGTGTAGGAGAGCCTGGGCATCCATGTAGACAGCAGCCTGTGGAGTCCTGACGCTGGTGACAGTCACGACTTTGTTTTCACCTTCCTGGCAAAGCTGCAAGCATTCAATTTTCAGCTGTTGAAACTGTAACATTTCATAAAATCTCTCCTGTCCATCCCAGTAGGGAGGCTGCTGCAGATGAGGACACACAGGGCTGTAGATGCTCAGTGGGTTGTGGCGACCAGCTCTGTGGTGGGCACAGGCTCTGCCTCATACCCAGGGTCAAACCTGAGTCTAAGGTCCCCTCCCTCTTGCCTGACGTCTGGCACCTCTTTGTCCAGTAGCTCTGAGCCTGCCCCAGATCCTAGTCCAATTTTCTTGAAGACAAGTCATTGGCAGGGTGGAGGTGACACTGGGAGCCTCTCTGGAGCAGGGCAGATGGTGGGAAGAGCCACAGAGAGGCTCTGAGGGAGGAGGCCTTTGATAGAGCAAGCCAGATAGCTCCCAGAACTCCTTGGGGCCTACTTTGGAACTGGAAGCTGGGTGTGGGGTACTGGGGACACGGGGGTGGATGAGTAAGGTGGTGCTCAGACCCAGGTCTGCCCGGGAGCAGCTAGCTTGCACTGGGGGCCCAGGTAGTGTTACAAAGCCACCATGGCCAGAGATGGCATAGGCTGCTGGTGGCCCTCTGACCTCCAAGTACTCATTGTGTGCCCAGCTAGCCCCAGGCCTGGGTCTTAATGGATAGGTTTGGCTTCCTGCTATCTCTGGCTTCCTTCTGCTGTTATCAGGAGCCATGCATTCATTCATGCATGGAGGGACTCCTGGCACTGTTGTAGGCTCTGGGGACAAAGCACAACCTCATAGAGGTGGCGGAAGGAAGCAGACAATATACAGGTGAAGCTAGGCTAAACTGTCCCACTGAGGCACATGCTTAGGAGGGTGTGTCTGGGTGAGGAGAAAGAGAGAGAGAACTCTGGTTGGGTATTCCCAGGAGACCCCTCAAGAGAAGGTGAGGCAAGGCTGCTGCCTTTATGGTGGCCCCTCATACCATCGCTCCTACTTTTGTTTGTCCTGTGCAGGTGCAGAGGGCATTGGTGCCTGACCTGCTGCTCCTTTGCTACTGTGGGCACCCCAGTCTCTTCCACCCTCCAGGAGGGGCTCCAGTTTGCCCAGAGCTCAGAAAGGGACTGGGGAGGCCAGGGCTGGGGGCTGCACTGAGGACTGAGGGTAGGAAAGAGTCTGCAGAGAAACATGGTGGGCACAGGGACAGTGTGTGCAAAGGCTGGTGTGATGTGGGAGTGTGTGCTTAGGTGGCAGGAGCCAGGTGGCAGTTCCTGGACAGGTAGCGGTGAGTGGCCAAGTGGTCATGGTGGTGGGGTCAAGTGATAGAGCTCCTGCCTAGCACCTGAGTTAAATCTTCAGTACTGCCAAAAAAAATTGAGTTAAGATGATACAATTTGTTTTATATATATATATATTTATATATATACAATATAATATATATAATTTGTTTTATATATATATAAATATATATATATATATATATATATATATATATATATAAAACAATGCTGGCAGGCATGCTGGAATAGCCCTGTACGATGGGGTATGCAATGTCACAGTCCCTTTGAATTATAACCAAGATTTGGTTTGAGGTGCCAAGAGCCTTGTGTTCTTATATCCTTTCACCCTAATCAAATCTTTGGCAATTTATTCCAAGAAACTAATCTGAAGGGGAGAAGCTCAGGAAAGAAAGATGTTTGCTTAGACATTAATTATAGGCAGGGAACAGTCTAGAAGGTGATGCATGATGAGTGAGAGTAGAAACGAGCAGGAAAGGACCACACACCCACTGGTGGATTTCCTGCTGCCATTGAAATAGTGGCTATGTGCCTCCTTTCACCCCGTTTCTGATGTTTTAGTGTCATTCATTCAAGGTGAAGGCAAAGCTCAGTCATCAGGTGACACCTCAAGTATAGAAGGTCTCTAAACACTTGGGCAAATTCCACGGCTGTGTAAATTGCGGGTTTGGGGGTGTGTACCCATCCTGTGACAAGGTCATTGAGGGGACGCTCACTGAGAGGAAGTGCTTTGCTCTCTAGCACCAAGCAAAGTTGCTGAGCCAAGGATTTTCCTGCAGAGTCCACTTTCTGGCCTGGCCTGCTGAGGGTCCCATGTCCAGGAGGAGCTCTCTGCCAGCGTCACTCAGACCAGACCTCCTGGTACAGGCTGCCCTTCCTGCCTCCGCAGCTCAGACTCCCGTGCCCTCAGGTCCCACACTGGCCCCATTTCCCTGAAGTGTATGCTTTCTAGGAGGAGCCTGGTTCACTCACTGCTGCGCTCCTAGGTCCTGGCCCTGTGTCCAGCACACATGGTGCTCAGTAAAGGTGCATGGTGATACAGGTGAGAGTTGGGGAAGACTGAAATTAGACAGGGAAGCAGATGAAGAGCTGGACACATGCCAGACTCTCAAGTGGAGGGACAGAGGGAGGGAGGAGCTGGGCTGATGCTTAGGGACCTGAGCTGGGAAGATTCACAGGGCTGCTCCTCCCTGTCTAACTTCCCAAGGCATCCTGGAGCTCTGCCATCTTACAGATGAGGAAACTGAGGCTCAGAGAGTGAAAGGCGGGCACCCAGCTCTTATCCCAAGTACCTGTCAGGGTATAGACAGGTGTTTCTGAGCCCCACTCCCTGTTCCTGCTCCCCAACACACCTAAGTACTGATACTGCTGTCCCAAAGCCAGAGTCATGGGGACACAGGAAGACTCCTGAGTTGTGAGCAGTGATGTCCAGGATGTGAAGAGAGAAACATGTATTGGCTGCTCCACTGGTCATAACTGCCTCCTAGGCATCGTGTTTGGTCCCCCTGTGAGCCTTCTGCTGCCTGTCCCAGGATCCAGGTTTTCTGCTCAGCACAAACCCCAGCACAGACCCAGATTTGTCATCTGTACCACCACACTCCATGCTGGCTGTGGCCTGGGCAGTCTCCACCCTGCTCATCCAGCCTGATACCAGATGTTGACAGCTCTGGAGTTATCCCTACCAATGCAGCCTCGGAGGCAGTAGAGGTCCATGGTGTGGTTTGAACACTGCTTGTCCTTCTGAAAATCATGTTGAATTTGATTATCATTGTGGCAGCATTGGGAAATGATGCCTTTAGGCAGTGAGGAGGGATTAATGCTTTTCTCATGTGACTGGATTAATTACCTCAAGAGTGAGCTGTTTTGAAGCAAGGTGACTCCTGTGCCTCTCTCCTCTGCCCATTTCGGCATGCTTTTCTGTTTCCTAGCATGAGTTGAAGCAGCACGAGGCCCTTACCATGCTCTTGGACTTTCAGCCTCCAGAAGTGTGGGCCAAAATAAGCCCGTGGGGGCAGGAAGCTGAACTCAGGGCTGTTTCCAAGAGACTTGGATGAGCACTGGCAGAGTAGCTCAAGTGATAGAGTGCCTGCCTAGCAAGTATGAGGCCCTGAGTTCAAATTCTAATACTGCCCCCCCCCAAATAGAATTAAGAGTCTTGGATGAAGAACCTGCCCCACCTTCCCCAGAAGGTTCTGACAGTCA